CTCAGAAGAGTTAGAAAACCCTGATTCCAAACCAATGGTGCACATGGATTCCAGTATCCTGAAGGAACAAATGGTGTATGAAACATTTATGAACAAATACAAAAAATCAGATCTAAAGCGAGATGCAATAAAAATAAGAAGGCATATAATGACAAGTTAAAACATGAAAAACAACCAATGAAGTTCAAGGTCGATAGGATAAGCTGAGAGTAATAATATTGAGTAGTTCTAACATTTCACTTCTACCCGAACTTGTGGAAACTTGTTTTACTAATATTATTTCATGTAATTACCGGAAATATTTTCAACACAGTGGATCTGATGCAGATGTGAAGGCACGGATTGGCAAAGCAAGAGCAGCATATTTACAACTGAAGAACATCTGCAACTCAAAACAACTGTACACAATCCAACACCAAAGTCAGAAGTTTCAATACAAATGTCGAGACAGTTCTACTGTATGGGGCGGAAACTTGGAAAACTACGAAATCCATCATCCAGAAGATACAGGTGTTTATTAACAGTTGTCTACGCAAAATACTTCGAATCCGTTGGTCGGACACTATTAGCAACAATCTACTATGGGAGAGAACAAACGAGATTCCATTGGAGGAAGAAGTGCTGGAAGTGGATAGGACACACGTTGAGGAGAGCACCCAATTGCGTCACAAGACAAGCCCTCACATGTAATCCTCAAGGCCAAGGGAGAAGGAGGAGAGGAAGACCAAAGAACACATTACGCCGAGAAATGGAGACAGATATGAGCAGAATGAATAACAATTGAATAGAACTAGAAAGGGAGGCCCATTACAGAGTAGTTTGAGGAATGCTGGTCGACTTTCTATGCACCGTTGGGAGTAACAGGCGTAAAAAAGTATTTTTCAACAATCAGGTGTATGGACAAATCAATGATTGTTCGATAGGATTATTTTCTAAAATTATGATATAATGAATGAATATCAAAGTTCATTTTATTATAATGTATAATAAAAAAAATAGTATCAGAAGGGGTTTTGTGGAGATTGTAGTAATTTCAACAGTTGAGATCATGAGTCGATTAAAGCTAGACCATCATGGAAAACCTGGAAGCACTGGACGACTGTTTCGTCCTATTGTATGACTCATCAGCAGTGCGCACATACAAATTAATTAATGACGTTTTTAATCATAATAAATTTGCTACAAAATGATGAAAATATATAAGCAAACTAATAATCTAAATAAACTTGACAGTATAAACTGTTAAAACTATTGCTTTATAGGATGACATTCAACGGTTTAGATTCTCTCATTAATAATATTAAATGATTGAAATTTATCAGTCCTTTTCATTGTCAACAAAAATGGATTCGAGAATAAATAACAAATAAGGTAAGGAAGAAAATCGTTTATGGGTCAGTGTATTTAAATCCTGAGTACCTACCTGGATATTATCTTCAGTTAAGAATTTTTAATATATTTGGATTATAGCCAGTAGTAAGATTCAAGATGTTCATTTCACTCACAATTGATTGATCACTGGGTGACCAATGTCATGAGTGTCTAGTCCTTATTATTAGTGCAGATCGAATGCTATCGATCATGTTGCAATGTGGCCACCAGTCTAGGTGACTCGACACTGCGGGCAGTATTGTAAGATTAGATGGTGGTTGGAGGGTTTCCTGTTGACTACCTCCAACCAACATCTAATTCATTTCACTCCATTCAGTAATACTCCTACGATGATTATTACTTATTATACATTCAGTAGAAGTAAATATTATCCTTATTTTTCCTTACAAAATATATCATCCATTGATAAATATTCATTTATTTATTGATTATATTCAATTGGAAGCTTCTATTTATTCATGTTATATACAAATGACCTAGGACTAACTATACGCCCACGTTCTGACCTCAATATGAGAAGATCTATTACAAATAATGATAATAATAACAAGTAAAAACCTTTTGTAAATTATTAAATCTTCTTTAGGATAAAAATTTATCAAAACAATCATAATATGAAAAAAAAATTGTTGCTCTGATTGTTAGAAGGGATATCAGCCTTGTGACTTCCGAAGGAACTCAGCTTTCATTATGTGACGTCATAACTCTTTTAAATGAAGACGTTATAACTCCCAGGGTAGAGTTTAGATGATTTGAATTATTTTTTCTGGTTAGCAATTTTTTAGTGAGTTAGTTTTCTATGGGATGGAGTCGCTAACCTCATGCTCAACCATTCTCCTTTACCTGGGCTTAAGACCAGTAGTAACTCTAGAAGAGCTACAGGAGGAGTTATATATAGATGTACTACTATCAATTAACATATACAGTTGGATAACAAACATATGGTTACCACTGTCATATTCGTTATAATAAAATCAAGTGAAGAGTTTAAACTTTTGTAAGTGTTGTATTGTGTTTGTTGGGGATGTTAGATCCCCAGAACTCACTTGATAAATACCTTATTTTTGTAATTTTATTTTAAAAATTTGAATTTCTTGTTTTCGTGCAAAAAGCGTTCAGTTCAACCTTCATATTTCCCACTTGTAAGGATCTTAAACACTATTGGTTCGTTGTATCTTTTAATATGCTATTTTGTAACGCTTCCCAAGGTCAATTTTATGTTGTATATATAAATTTGATTTGTGCTTGTTGTTGTTATTACTCGTGCTTCTGACTGCTTACGGAATATATTTCCTCATTTAGAACTTGTACTTTTCTCTCTCTTTCTCTAGTTAGCAGGTCTAGACCGTATCAGAACAGCTAGCTTATTGGTCTTTAGTCACAGAGTTTTTGTTCCGTTCTCAGACTAGGTGAACTCATAATCACTTCAAACATAGTACTGTTCTAAGCTGGATGATTAAATCTTAATGCTTTAATTGTTTTCCTAGATAATATTGTTATCAGTATATGAGATTGGATTGGTTATTTTACATAATTATACTGGTAAGCTAGAAAACTTTCAATCAACTCAGAAAGATCTAGAATTACTCATAAAGGTTAATAGAACTTTTTGGATAACAATCATTTTTTTTTTAATCGGTTGATTCAATTTCGAAAGATTTTTGAATTTAGTTTAACTCTATCAGTTGTATTCAACATTCAATGTTATTAAATGTGAATGTGATAATAATTCTTTATACTTTAGAGTATATTTTATTGATTACAAATTTAAATGTATGCACTGAGATATTGTTTGAAGAATATTTTGGTTAAATGGTTTATGTATGTTGATTTGATTTATTAGATGCATTCGTTGTAGACTGAGATTAGTTAGGGTATAAATGAAAATCAAGGAGCGATAGACAACTGATCTTTTCTTGGTATGTAAAATCTTGAGAGTGATCTCCCATAACGATCCTATAAACTCAAATTAGTGAGCAGTAGATACTGATTGCTGAGGCATCACATACTAGCTGGGGGATAGCTTTACAGAACTTTCTGGTTTTGAAAAGTAACCAAATAACAGTTGAATTCATGAATCAATATAAACTAGATCATCATCATTGAAAACCTCTAAGTACTGGATGGCTAGTTCGTCCCAGTTTAGGAAACCCTCAGTAGTGCGCATCCATGATCCCATATGTGGAACGTAGACCCAGCATCTTTGGTCTTGCACGCAAACACTTAATCTTTAGATCACTGAGTCAGCATTCAACGGTGTTAATGTCCAACTTCAATCGATCCATAATCTTACTCAACCGTGGATAACTATCTCTACTGGACACAGATTTGACTCATGAAGACGTCAACATCTGAAGGGAAGCACGGGATACAGTGGACATCTAGGATACAGTCGGATAATCTAGACTTCACAGATGATCTGGCTCTTCTATCGCACACACAACAACAAATGCAGGAGAAGACAACCAATGTAGCAGCAGCCTCACCAGCAGTAGGTCTTAACGTACATAATGGGAAAAGCAAGATTCTCCGATACAACACAACATGCAACAATCCAATCACAATTGACGGAGAGGATTTGGAAGATGTAAAAACCTTTACATATTTGGGCAGTATCATCGATGAACACAGTGGATCTGATGCAGATGTGAAGGCACGGATTGGCAAAACAATAGCAGCATATTTACAACTGAAGAGCATCTGAAACTCAAAACAATTGTACACAATCCAACACCAAAGTCAGAATTTTCCATACAAATGTCGAGACAGTTCTACTGTATGGGGCGGAAACTTTGAGAACCACGAAAACCATCAACCAGAAGATACAAGTGTTTATTAACAGTTGTCTACGCAAAATACTTCGAATCCGTTGGCCGGACACTACTAGCAACAACCTACTATGGGAGAGAACAAACGAGATTCCAGTGAAGGGAGAAATCAGGAAGAAGCGCTGGAAGTGGATAGGACACACACTGAGGAAAGCACCCAATTGCGTCACAAGACAAGCCCTCACACGTAATCCTCAAGGCCAAGGGGGAAGGAGGAGAGGAAGACCAACGAACACATTACGCCGAGAAATGGAGACAGCTATGAGCAGAATGAATAACAATTGAATAGAACTAGAAAGGGAGGCCCATTACAGAGTAGTTTGAGGAATGCTGGTCGGCGGCCTATGCTCCATTAGGAGTAACAGGCGTAAGTAAGTAAGTGAGTAAGTTAAACAAATAATTCATTGAATAAGAAATAAATAAGCTAAATATTGTTGTAAATATATTACACAAACAAATACACAATTGTGATCCATTTATCCCTTTTAAAACGATAAACATAAAAAAGCAATGTGATAAAATGATAAACTCAATACGATTATTATTATTATTATTACTCCTGTTATGTAATTCACTTACCAAGTAGCAACCTATCCATTGAACTATAACTATGGTTTCTATGTAATAACAAACAATGATGTAATTCGATTATTTAAACTAGAAAATAATAACCAAAAAAAAAACTGGGTTCAAATCTTTAACCCAATAATCATCTATTGGGTGCATTATTATGTTTATCATATTATAACAACAATGAATAAATTAAACATATTTGAACAAAAATAAATAAATAAATAAATAAATAAATAAAGTTACCAACATCAACAACAACAATAACAATAACAAAGAAAATAATCAATTCATTATGATAAAGAAAAGAAAAAAAAAAGAAGAAAACTAAATAATGAATAATCAATACAATCACCTCATGTATCTAGAATATTATTGATTGAATATTCATAAATTATTGATTTATTATGTATTGAATGATTATTAATTGTATCTAGTCTATTTAACATGATTCATAATTTATTTATAAATGATCATTATTTATCACTAACTTCATCTTTAGATTTTCTAGAATTCCTCTGCTGATTCCAAGCCCAGGTAAAATAGAAGGATTAAATATATATATATATAGGGATTAGCGAATTCATCTCATAGAAAACTAACTCGCTAGAAGAAAAACAAAAAAAAACAAAAACAAAACAACGCTAACCATCATTTAGTTAAAGTTAATCATAACACAATTGATGAATTTATTCTGTTTTGTGACTAAGGTAATAATGAATTACATAATAATCTATAATTAATCCATAATCATATTGTTTAATGATACATGATTGTTTATTACATGGAATGAGACAAAAATAAGGATATATGTTACTTTTATTCTTTTTTCTTCCTGTTTCTATAGATAAAAAGGATAATGATCCATTTGTGATTTAACCAAAAAAAGGAAAAAAAAACAAAAGAAAGAAATATGTCGCAATTCTTTACATTAAACTTTTACCTCTTTACCTGTCTCTATATGTATGTATGTATGTGTGTGTGTGCGCTATTGTATGTATCTATTGTTAAATGTTTTTATGGTATTATTGTTATGAAAATTATTTTTGATTTAATGCAATATGAAGAAGAATTTGACTAGCTATCAATGAATTACGATAAGCTAATAAACCATTACGATTACAACATTTGGAAAGATTGACCGAGTTGAGTGTCTATAAATAGGAGAAAAGAAAAAAAAGTGTGTAGAGACAAGACAGAGAGAGAGAGAGAAAGTGAACAATAAAAAATATGTTTAAAAATCAGAAATAGTGATATTATGATTTACCTCACAAACTGAGCTTAGTTAGACAACTGTTGAAAATCAACGATAATTCGGTAAGATCATGAACTGATTGATGTTAGACCACCATTGAAAACCTGTAAGCAAAGGACAGTCGTTTCGTCCTAGTATGGGACTCCTCAGTAGTGCGCATTTACGATCCCACCTAGTGGGATTCGAACCCAGGGCCCTCAGTCTCGCGGGCGGGATCGTGGATGCGCACTGCTAAGGAGTCCCACAATAGGACGAAACGGCCGTCCAGTGCTTCCAGGTTTTCAATGGTGGTCTAACATCAATCGTTTCATGATCTCAATCAAAAACTTGACAATCTCCACAAACACCTAAGTTGATAATTGAGTGGCCGGATCATCTGAGCTGTATGAATCCACAGTTTTATCAGTGATTGAACAAAATACCTTCATGTCACATAGCATTGAGTCATTTCAAGTGTTTTACATTTTTAGCTCCAATGAATTTATGATATTGTATAACTGTCTTACAATATCATTAGTGAGTTCCAACCACATATATACAACATGAATGAACTATTCTGATTAATGCTTCTCAATAGAACTTCACTTCTACCTGAAGTTTGTGTTGATGATGTCGTGCAGAAGAACGATGAAAGCTCCACAGTTGAACCACCCAGATCAGAAAACAAAACTCCATCAAAATTGTATTATACCTTATACATGTTTTTAAAGATGTGCTAAACTTGAAAAAAAATGAAGTGATATAATGTATGTGTTTTCAGAACATCTTTTATTGAAATTTTCATGCTGTGAAAATGATCCAACTGAATTTATAACATTACGGATAAAGATCTATCCATCTATTTGTCTATATTGTTAAAGTATATATTAATCGTAAGGTAATTTTTGTAAATAAGATGTAATTAGCACTAGAATCTAAGATATCCATTTTGTTTTATATGAGATTTGTCAGTCAGATGTACTTTTATCTAAATATTAATGTACACATGAATTCCTAAATCTAATATCATACACTTCAAACATCCATCTCTTTAACTCCTGAGATTAACTGATCACTGATTTATTTCATGGATATAAAGTTATCAGTAAGGGTTTATAGTTCTTTGTTTTTTTGTTGATAAAATTTACAATAAAAAGAAACACGGCAAGACTATGATTTATGGACGAGCCAATCAGAAGCATTTGAGGGATTTCAAAGTCACAACGCCAATTTCAGTACCTGACACTTACGTACGACCGGTTCACAGCGGATTTTAGAGAAAAGGTGACAATTGGGCGACCACGACAAATAGGACTAATAAGAAGTTCATTTATATGTGATTGTAGTAATCAAATGACTTGTGAACCTTATGCAGACTACCATGATGATGTTGTCTTTCGATGTAATAAATGTTGGAGGAAGAAGTCTGCTAGAATAGGACTTTTTTCGCTTTGCTTTGCTTTGCACCCTCGAAGTGCAAAGTAATTCTACAAGATTGGCAGGATTCTAATCCTGTACTCACTCTGGATGGTGAGCAGATAGAAGTGGTCGAGAAGTTCGTGTATCTAGGTAGCTGCATAAGTGCTGCTGGTGGCGTAAGTGATGAGATCAATGCACGTATAGTGAAAGCCAGAGCGGCTTATGCCAATCTGGGCCACCTTTGGCGCCTTCGTGATGTTAGTCTGGCTGTAAAAGGTCGGATCTACAACGCGACGGTTAGAGCAGTTCTGTTCTATGCTTGTGAAACCTGGACTCTCCGAGTTGAGGATGTTAGACAACTCTCTGTGTTCGATCATGGTTGTCTCCGAAGGATTGCTGATATCCAGTGGCAACACCATGTTAGTAATACAGAGGTTCGGCATAGTGTGTTCGGGCACAGAGACGATAATGCAATTGGTGTCACCATCTTGAAACACCGACTTCGGTGGCTTGCACATGTTCTACGAATGTCGTCCCAGAGAAATCCTCGTCGTGCATTATTTGCCGACTCTGGGACTGGTTGGAAAAAGCGGAGAGGTGGTCAGTATATGACATGGTGTCGTGGTATGAAAGAAAGCTGCAAAGGGCTAGCTTCTGTTGGTCCTTCATGACTCCCTGGCTGGGGTCCGAGAGATGGTGTAACACAGTGGCTAGAGACGTTATCAGATATGGCTCAGAATAGAAGCCAGTGGCGATCCTGCTGTAACCTTCTTTTACTTTCTTCGTAAAGAGTGGTTGCTTCTTCCTTAACTGAAAGATTTCTTCTGATTGTGCCTTTTCGTTTCCCCATTTTTGTTCTTTTATTTGATATAGATATTCCCTACGTTCCTTATCTTTCTTTTTCCCTTCTCTTTAAATTCTCATTGTTTTGTGTGGCACATATATATTTGGTGCCCCCCCTGTACCAATATTTATGTGTTGAAATAATAATAATAATTTTTCGCTCGGTCCATATTGAGACTAAAGCAAATTATGATAACTGTTGCGAGCTGTATAATAAAAGCACCAGTAACACTGGCTGAAACCAGTTACTACAATATATACGGATGATTGAAGAGCATACAGACACCTTTATAGACTTGGTTATGTGCATCGTGTCATTATCCGCAAGTCACCTTTTGAAGACCTAAGAATCGGAGTATTGAAGCTATATGGTCAAGGCTGAAAGACCACCATGGAAAACCTGGAAACACTGGACTGCCGTTTCGTCTTATTGTAGGACTCCTCAGCAGTGTGCATCTACGACCCCGTCTCGCAGGATTCAAACACTGGACCTAACAGTCTCGCCTGAAGCGCTTATCCACTAGACCACTGAGCCGGCCAGCATCCAACAGTGTCAGTGTCTAACTTCAACTAATTAAGCGACATATCTACCATTGTCATTAGTGAGTTATTATCTTACAACAGACCCGATTGAACTCCACTCATCACAGCTTCTCACTAAAACTCCAGGATATACCTCTTGAAACCAGTCACTAGTGAGCATATTTTATTTCATATCAGAAGGGATTTTTTGTGGATATTATAGTAGTTTCAATAGTTAAGATAATGAGTCAATTGTATACTATATATTAACTGTTTTCTGATTGGCCAATATTTCTCAAGGTCACTTAAGAATTATACAAACGTAATCCATAAATTCTAATTTCGCCAAAAACCATTTATAAAAATATTAAAACAATAAGTAATAATAATAATAATAATAATTTCAATAGTTGAAATCATGAGTCAATTGAAGCTAGACCATCATGGAAAACCTGGAAGTACTGGATAGGTCCTGGGTTCGAATCTTGCGAAGTGGGGGGGTATCATAGATGCGCACTGTTGAGGAGTCTGACAATAGAACGAAACGGCCATCTAGTGCTTCCAGGTTTCTTATGATGGTCCATCTTCAACTAACTCATGATCTCAACCATTGAAATTAATAATAATGACAATAAAAAAAGACAAAAAAAAGCGAATAAACTCATTTACTTGTATCTCTTCTGATGATTTTATTACATTGTAATTAATTTGATATTTATGTAAATCATTCATTATTAATTGTATGATTATATTGTAATTATTTGATAATTGTTTTTGTACTAATAATAATTTAATAGAATTTAATGCATATTTTAATTGAATAATACCACCACCTAATGAATTAATTATTGTATGTGGTCCACATGTATCCCATATAAATGTATTTGGCTAATTATAATAAAAATAATATATATGTTAAATAAATAATTTTAATAATATAATTAATGTTAATAGAATGTAAATGAAATTAAAACAACTAAAGTTATTGATATCATTCACTTGGTGTTGTTTTGCTTGAATCTACTCATTGAAGTTTAAGACTGTAATTGATCAGTCTGGTTGAGATCATGAGTCAATTGAAGCTAGACCACTATGGAAAACCTGGAAGTACTGGACGGCCGTTTCGTCCTATTGTGGAACTCCTCAGCAGTGCGCATCCACGACTTCGCCCCCTGCCAGATTCGGACCCAGGACCTACTGGTTTCGCGCGCTAGCACTTAACCACTAGAACACTGAGCCGGCCAGCATCCAACGGTGTTAATGTCTAACTTCAACTAATCCACGAAATTGAGCGACACATCCACCATTGTCATCAATGAGTTACTATCTCACAACAGACCTGGTTGAACTCGATTGGTCACTACTATTCACTAAAACTCTAGGATATACCTCTTGAATCAAGTCCCTAGTGAGCATATGTTGATTAATACCAGAAGGGGTTTTGTGGAGATTTTAGTAATTTCAATGGTTGAAATCATGAATCATTTGAAACTAGACCACCATGTGTATACAATGCGTATTGCCTAGATATTGTTTTAATTCACTAGCTTTATAAACAAAGATGGATAGTGGGTAGCAGTAAAATCCAGTTTGATGCATGTTTCATCCTATTTACTTATAGTATATTTGTAATGTCAAAAGTGGAAATGTTAAAATGATTGAATCTTTGTTTGATTCTAGATTTTATGCTAGTTTATACTTATTAGTAAGAGATATATCTTTAATCTTATAAAACTTAATTTACTTTGTATTATTTGATTATTTATTGTAAATATCTCAGTTATACAAGAGATCAATCTAGCTAAGTAGTAACATCTCTGACTGAGTAAACTTTTGAAATATTGGTTATCGGAAAACCACGAGGATATATTATTATAAAATATCAACTCGCATGAAATATAAGTCTAATCTTCTGTCGATTGCTTCCAGTTGTTTAATATTGCAATATAGTACAAATGATAGAGGTATATATTGTAACTTGGCCATCGGAATTATAGGATTTAGGCAAACAAGCCGTTCGTTGCCATTTAACGATTGGTCCCTATGCACCTGGAGATATTATTTAGCTACTCAAACTAAAGTGGATGGAATAGAATTTGAACTTGTGTATCTATGAGTAAACATTAAATGTCTGTAATCACTTAACATAACGGAGATGATGTGATGAAATTAATTGCCTCTAGAGATCTAGAGGTTAAGAGTTCGCGTACGAAACCGAAGGTCCTGAGTTCGAGTTCCACGTTCTTTTGTTCTAAGTATCCCATTTAAGTCAATGAAATCAAAGCAACCAGTTATCATCAATGTTTATCAGTTGAAAGTACTCGTCCAAAAAATCCTGCTAGTTGTTCATTCACATCATATTCTTAAAGCACGGTATATATCTAATACTAACATGTATTATTCATGCCTAACTACCATCTATCTCGACATTTAATGACAGCTGATATGGAAGTTAGGTTGAAGGAAAGCAGAGGTGGGGAAAACAGAATGTTCTATCGTTACATAAAGTCCTTAGCTACCGAACTGAGACGTATTCGTAAGTGCAAACCTGAAGATTATCGTATCCAGAGGTTCGAGACGTTGAGTGATATGGTTAATAATCAGTCACAAGTGAGCAGATGGATTCTGTCTTTGTCTTCTCTTAAGTCTTAAAAAATATTTTGCAATTTTCATTTCATAGATCAATCCTTTTGTTGGGGACGTTAAATCCACAGAACTCACTTGGAAAAGGACCTAATTTTGTCATTTTGTTTAGAAAATTTTAATTTCTTTGTTTTCGCGCTAAAAGCGCTCTTGTCATATTCATGTCGTATTTCCCACTTGGGAAATATCTTAAATGCTATTGGTCCGTTATGTCTTTTAGTATGTTATTTGGTAACTCTCCCTAAGGACGGTTTTGTGCTGTATATATATATACGTTTTGATTTGTGTTTGTTGTTATCGCTCATTTCTGGCTGTTTACAGAATATACTTCCCCATTTCAAGCTTAGACTTCTTCCTCTAGTTAGCGGGGCTGGAACGTACCAGAATATCTAGCCTATTGGTTTTCGGTCACAAGTCTTTGTTCCGTTCACATACTAAGTGAACTAGTAATAGCTTCAAACCTAGCATATTTCTTGTTGAATTACATTGTCTCTGACTAATCTTTTTTTATAACCACTTACCCTGTTACTACCTCTACTACTCTGGAATTTGTCTTTAAAATATTCATCTTCCTATGTTGATATTGTGTAGAAACTTAAGTCGATGTACATAAATATCAGGTTCTATATCTCTAATCACTAACCAACTAATTGACTATTTTAGGACATTACTATCAAAGATAAGAGTAAATTATGAAAATGGGATTAGAACTACTTACTTCCATTAAAATAAATGCATCCACTTGATCTAATATCACACATAATTGTTTAAAACCAGCTCCAGATGATGACAAAAACACAACATTGACTAAATCTTGATTGGCATCTTTATAATCTAAACAATAATAATAATAATAATAGTCATAATGATAATATATAGAAACAATATAAATAAAACATTGAACATTGAATTAATATGAGGATGTAATAGAAGAGTTTTAACGTTGAGTTATTCATTACAAATAATATCTATAAAGGATTGTGTAACTTCTTCAACAATTACAGAAACTGATGATCCTATAGCCACATCTATTTGTCTGTATAAGTCTCATTGAAAACTAGAAAACTAGATGGAACGTAAGCATAGATCTATAGTTTTAGTAATGTCTGATGGACTTCATGAGCATGGTTACTTTAGTTCAGTTTCAGAATTTAAGAGACTGTATACAATATTTAAAGTTTTCCTAACAGGAATATTAATTAGCAAAGAGCAAACATGAAAAAAACTTGATATCAGTTCGTTTTCTTCCATGTAAATAGTAGTGATAATGTTGTTGAATACAGTAGAATATTTTATTCCGAATTTTATATTGCTTTTATATACTTACTTACGCCTGTTACTCCTCGTGGACGAGCGTAGGCCTCTCACCAACACTCGCCATCCAACCCTGTCCTGGGCAATCCATTCCAGCTCTTTCCAGTTGTTATTCATCCTTTTTATATCTGATTCTATTTCCCGACTTAATGTGTTCTTTGGCCTCCCTCTTCTTCGCTTCCCTTCAGGATTCGAAGTTAGGGCTTGCCTCATGATGTAGTTTGATGATTTCCTCAATGTATGTCCTATTCACCAACTCCATCGTCTTTTCCTGATTTCCTCTTCAGCTGGAAGTTGGTTTGTTCTCTCCCATAAAAGACTGTTACTGATGGTATTTGGCCAATGGATGTCGAGTATCACGTCGGGCTCAGTACTTTTGGGGTACCTAGCCTGTCGTATGCCCCGATGGTGTTCTCGTAACTTTCCTGTTTCCTGATCTGCCAAGGGCTATGGGACAGTGCATGATGCTATTGTTTTGTGCTAGGTTCAAAGAGAATTGTATGCTATATGCATGCTAATCCGTCCCGTTATTGTTCATTGCTTTCATATGGTTTAAGAATATTGGTTAGATATTCAAAAAGATTGAACGTAGATGTATTAGTATAATCAACTACTATTTATAATGGGATATCCGTCCAACGAATTTTTGGTAGCCCATAAAATCTACAAGAGCTGGAGCTTTTTAGTTATGAAGAAAACCATAGAGAAGGTCTTAGTTTAAATTTTAGAGTCTTGAGCATCAGAGGTGATTTATATTCAATGAGATTTTAATTTTCACTTGCCTTAGTATCAAAAACACATACATACAACTATGATCATAACATGTCTCTCTACACATCAAATGTCTCATATGCATTCACTGCATGAAATTATTACTTTTAATATTTTTAACATGATAGAATGATCTGTTTAGCATATAATGAACCGGAGAACCATGTAACTTAGATATATTCGATAATTTTGATGTTTGATTATATTTCCTTGAAAATACTTGAACTAAATCACTGATCAAAACGTTAGATTTAATTCACATTCATTCGTTTAGATTTTACAAATATAATTTGCCTTAATGTCTTACATTAACTCAGTACCCAACTACTATGAAACTATTTATTCAAATTTAGACGAAACTTTTTATAGATAATAAAACAATTAGAGTCCAAATATTATCATTATTTCATTCTTTTCAAAACGAATTGCCTATTGATAATATGATTCCTAAATATAACAGTAATTGGAAATATTATGTATACATGTAATTGTTCACATGCATCACGAGGCAAGTCCTAACTTGGAATCCTGAAGGGAAGAGGAAAAGAGGAAGTTCAAAGAACACATTACGTCGGCAAATAGAAGATATGAAAAGGATGAATAATAACTGGAAAGTATTGTCTAGAACAGGGTTGGATAGCGAGTGCTGGTGGGTGGCCTATGTTCCTCGACGAGGAGTAACAGACGTAAGTAAGTACGCTATTAACAATAAATGAATTTATAGATTGTATTCATCAAAGATTGATATTAATTAAGATACTATAATATATATACAATATATATATATACAATAATATTGAATAGTGAATAGTAGTGACCAGTGGAGTTCAACCAGGTCTGTTGTGAGATAGTAACTCACTGATGACAATGGTGGATGTGTCACTCAATTTCGTGGATTAGTTGAAGTTAGACATTAACACCATTGGATGCCGGCCGGCTCAGTGGTCTAGTTGGTTAAGCGCCTGGCGCGAGACTGATAGGTCCTGGGTTCGAATCTCGAGGGAGAGGCGGTGTCGTGGATGCGCACTGCTAAGGAGTCCCACAATAGGACGAAATGGCAGTCCAGTAATTCCAGGTTTTCCATAATGGTCTAGCTTCAATTGACTTATGATCTCAATAATTCAAAATAAAATAAATTAAATTAATCAATCATATAAAATATATACTTACTATGGAATAAATTAGTTAAACGACTAAATTCAATAGAACTACAAGCAAGTTTTAAAATTGGTTTCTCTTCATTAAATACTCGATCTGGACAAAGTACATCAAAAAAATTATCTGGAAAATGTAGATATTTAGGAAAATTTAAATTATCTAAAGGATTCAATGAAGTTTTTGTAGAACAATTATTTGAATATTTAGTAATAGGTAAAGTATTTCCAGAATCAATAATATTGTAACCCCAAAATATTCGTCCATAATTATATAATGAACTATATATTAATGATAAAATAAATTAAAAAAAAAAGATAGAAAGTTAATTTAATTTAAGTAATACTATATACACTGGGATCAGTTAAACAATATCAATATTACTGGTTGAAATCATGAGTTAATTGAAACTAGACCATCATAGAAAACCTGAATGGCCAACTCGTCCTAGTATGAGATTCCTCAGTAGTGCGCATCCACGATCCCGCCCCCCCCCTCGAGATTCGAACCTAGGACCTATTAATGTACCACTTTTACACAATACTCAATGCCTAGTATTAGAATTATGAACTCGTGAAGTTTTATTATACATCTACTAAACCATAAGAAATCATTTGTCTATATTAAGGAACTTAATCAAATAAGATTACTGATGGTTACCGGATGCTGAAAACAATATACATTGAACAAGTTTCAATCTAATCTATATTCAATTGGCTTAAAATCAATGATTGTAACCAATAATTCATTAGAACAACAGATGTAATTGAACAGTTGTTTTCAATTCAATCGTCACCAGGCTTTCCTCTAATATACATGAATATTTATACGAAAATGTTAAACCAATCAATAATCATAATGAAATAGAATAAGTCACCACACATAATAGATAAAAGTACAAGTTGATAGTAGGAAGATAGGTGTACTGATAGTAGTAGTAGTAAGAATAATAAAATGAAATACAATAACAATAGTCATATCAACAGTTAAACATTGGAAATAGAAGGTCAAACGTGGGTAAATAGACTTAAAATAATCATCATAAAACATTAAAACCATTATGTAATAAGAAGTGAGTAAATGATTAGATAGTGATGAATACAAACAGAAACAGGCGAAAACTACAAACAAATACTATATGTGAAAATATGGGTGATGATAACAAAAACAAAATAAAGGGTCGTTTGTTAAGTTATAACTAGCCACGGAAGGGATAGAGGGGGTTGCGAATTTCTTCTGTACACATGAATTGGGGTTATATGTACGAATTCCTATGGCTTCAGCTATATGTAGGAGACGGGAACGAACTCCGTTAGGAAATGATGGAGGTATACAAGAGATCACTCGAAATGCTTCCAATTTATCCACAGTATGACCGCTATCAAAAAGATGTGCCAAGTTAGAACTGCGTATTGCTTTTATTTGGCCCTTTATAAACCAAGCTGGTAGATGTTCACTCATTCGTTGGTTAAATTGCATGGTAGTACGCCCAATATAGCTATCTCCACAGAAGCAGCTGAATTTGTGATTATTGATTATCGGTTTAACAGTCAGTCAGTCAGTAACAACGTAGAACTTCGTACGTACGTACATCAGTTCGAGTTGCCATACCACATTAGCACACAGATGCAGTTGTCGATTCAAATCCCGTAGTGGTAGAGGTGGTAAGAGTATAAGCAGCAATCGGAAATATTAGGGTCTGAAGATGTTATTCAAGGAGCATAATACAGTGAAACAAATTTGGAAAGAGAAAAAGAAAAGGGACATGAAGAATTCAGAAGATTGTAATTTGGGAGAACACAGAGAGTGGATGCACCTGCGCCATTGCAAATGATTTTGAGCCATTTCATTCAAGGTCTCTAACCATCGGTTGCTATCATCTCGCAGATCTCAACCAGTTAGTCTACACCTATCAACATGGCTCAGTTCACTTGTCAGCGACTTCATGGACTTGTCCCATGTTTTGGTCTGGCCGTCCATAGCTTTCTTCCAAACTACTCCTCTACCATTTAACATCGCACTTCGTAGAAGTCGGTGGTTGGGCATACGTAACACATCCCAGTCATCTCAACTGACGAAGTTCCACTATTTCATCAATCGATTTTCCATCCTTACCTAGTACCCGTTTCGTAACAACTGAGTTACTTACTCGGTGGTCCCAGGATATACAAGCAATGCTTCGATGACACCTATGATCAAATACTAGTAACCTACGAATATCCTCTACTCTTACCGGCCTTATTTCACTGCCATAAAGTGGGAAAGAACGAACTACTGAGCAGTAAACACGTCCTTTGGTTGGTAGACGGATACCTCGCCTACGCCATAAATGATGCAAGTTGGCAAAAGCTAGTCGAGACTTTTGTATCCGTGCTGAAATTTCATCACACACCAGACCGCAAGGGCTGATGAAACTTCCCAGATAAGTGAAGCGGTTGACACGCTCAACTACTTCGCTCTCTATTATTAGTTCGTTTGTTGATGCAACCCAATCCTTAGGAAACATTCTGCATTTCGACATTTTTATATAAATATTCATGTATATTAAAGGAAAGCTTGATGATGATCTAATTAAAAACAATTATTCGCTTATATGTGTTATTCTAATTTTCACAATAGGAATCTTTAATAATTCATTAATCAGAAGGGGTTTTGTAGAGATTGTAGTAATTTCAATAGTTTGAGATCATGAGTCAATTGAAGCTAGACCACCATGGAAAACCTGGAAGCACTAGATGGTGCACTGCTGAGGGGTCCCACAATAGGACAAAACGGCCATCCAGTGTTTCCAGGTTTTCCATAGTGGTCTAGCTTCAATTGTCTCATGATCTCAAACAATTGAAATTCATTAATCAATTAAATAATCATAAATAATCAATCAAATAATAATAATAATATATTATTATTATTAATCTTACTTTATTTCATCATTGAATAATTGATTATCATTATTATTATTATTATTATTATTATTACTGTTATTATTATTAGGAGAATTTCTAATATTATTTAAATAGAATGGTTGATTGATAACACCAATTAATGGTAGACCATTTGAACAATCAAATAAACCTAATAAAATTGTAACATTAATAAGGCTACCATGATAGAAACGTATTAAACTTGTTGGATTTTCAAAAAAATGATTAATTTGATTTAGATTTTCTAATTCTATACCAGATAAATTAGTAGATGATGAAGTAGTTGAAGTAAAATGAAATTGATCAAATTGACCTTGAGCATAATCAGCTGTTGAGTCTATAGGGAAAAAAAGATCAAGGAAAAAAAAGAAACGAAAAAAGAGGAATATAATAGAAATAAAATTAAGTATAATAATAATAATATTAGTGAATAGTATTGGAAGGGGTTTTGTGGAGATTTTAGTAATTTCAATGTTTAAGATCATGAATCAGTTGAAGCTAGACCACTATGGAAAACCTGAGAGCACTAGACTACCGTTTCGTCCTATTGTAGGACTCCTCGACCCCACCATTCATTGGTGGTCTAACTTGAATTGACTAATGATCTCAACCATTGAAATTCCTGCAATCTCCACAAAATCCCTTCTGATATGAATCAACACATGCTCACTAGTGACTAGCTTCAAGAGTTATATTCTGGAGTTTTAGTGAGAAGCCATGATTAGTGAAGTTCAACTGGGTTTGTTGTAAGATAGTAACTCATTGAAGACAATGGTGGATGATCGTTCAATTTCGTGGATGAGTTGAAGTTAGACATTAACGCCGTTGAATGCCGGTTCAGTGGTCTAGTGGTTAAGCGCTCACGTGCGAGACTTATAGGTTCATGGTTCGAATCCCCTGAGGCGCAGTCGTGGATGCACACTGCTGAGGAGTCCCGTGCTGTGACGAAACAGCCGTCCAGTGTTCTCATGTCTTCCATAATGGTCTAGCTTCGGTTGAATCATGATTTCAACTATTAATTGATATTAATGAATGCGTTGTTGTATTCTACTCATTAAGGTTAATTAGTTTCATCAACTACATTAAAAATATCAGAAGGAATTTTTGGTGGATTTCATAGTAATGTTCCTAATTGAGATCATGAGTCAATTAAAGCTACACCATTATGGAAAACCTGGAAGCACTGGATGGTCATTGAAATATGATCTCTAATTAGATTTATGAATGGAAAAGATTAGAATGAAGATAAATCAATAGAATATTGTAAAGAAATGATTGAAATACTTTCAAGGTTTATTGATCCATCTGTTAGATTGATGTTTAGTATTCTGGTATAAATCTTCTTTTAAATACTAAATTTGGAAGGTGAGTGACAAATAGCATTTTTTTCTTAAGCCATCCATCTTATAAATTATGCTTCAAAGAAAATATGGATTTCTATCAAGTAAAAATTCATTTCAGAATAATTGAACACGAAGTATGGTATATATTTTGATGGAGTTCTGTTCTCTGAGATGGATGGTTTGGTCGTGAAGCTTTCATCGTTCTTCTGAATGACATCATCAGCACAAACTTCAAATTGAAGTTTGAAGTTTGTGCTGATGATGTCGTTCACAAGAACGATGAAAGCTTCACGACCAAACCATCCATCTCAGAGAACAGAACTCCATCAAAATCATCCACCTGAGCTACAAATCTTCTCCAAAAAGTATGGTATATAATTATGAATATCAGGTATAAATTATCTCGTTGTTGAAATTCCAAACTAAATGTAGATCACTATTTGTTAGCGTAATTACATTCGTTAGAGATTGCTTTAATATGGCTAATGTTACAAGTTATTTGATTACTGTTATTGAGAAAAGATGGATTATAGGTATAAATGAAATATGGAATGAACATTTTATCTTTAATTTCACTACTGATCGGAACTCATCTATTTTAAATAATGTTGGAGAATAAATAAGTGCTCGCGCGCGAGACTGATAGGTCCTGGGTTTGAATCCTGTGAGGCGGGGTTATAGATATGCACTGCTGACGAGTTCCACAATAGGACGAAATAGCCGTCTAGTACTTCTAGGTTTTCCATGGTGGTCTAACTTCAATTGACTCATGATCTCAACTATTGAGATTAAATAAATGTTGTTCCGCAAATTACTTTAATGAATAAATTTCGATGGTGTATTTCATCTATTCTATATATCGACGTCTGGACATTTGAGTTCGTTCTGTTTTCATGTTTTTATATTACAATAGATTTCTGGATATGTACCATTTTCAAGTTTTAGTAGATAAGACATATAATGTAAATTTTATGAACAGTAGAGTAAGAATAGATGGGTTGACCGCTCGTTAAGTAGAAGCATGTATGGAAAGAGCTCCTTTGTTTGCTAGTACACACTATTCTAGTTTCACTTTCATCCGCTACAAGAAAGTCTGACTAGATATCTAATAAGCAGAGGAAAAAGATCTCAAATGATACTATAAAGAAGGAGTTCGAGTTTATTAATAACACCGATGAAGATCGGTTACATATGAAATTTTTAATAAAGTACATGTATCTGAGGAAAATAAACTGGGGATATTGACCACTCGAAAGCAATATCTATTCTTAAAGATACAACTCAACGAGGATGTGTTTAGAGATTTCCTGTATGCTAGATTAGCAAGGGCAGCTAATATGACATTCTATGCAGCCAACCTTGAGTTGACATTTTCTTGTAGGCCAGTGATATATAATCCAGCGAAGGATAGGTTATCTGAGTTTGTCTCCACAATGTGCATCTACAAATCCAGCTGCTCATGAGAAGGTAGCTATATTAGGCCTACCACCAGGCGACTTAACTAACAAATAAGTGAAAATCTCCCAGCTTGGTTTGGAAAGGGCAACACAAAAAAGATATTCAGCCCTATCTTGGCAAACCTGCTTGACAGTGGTTATATGGTAGATAAAAGTGAACCGTTTTGAGTAATCTATCGTATACCTTCGTCATTACCCAATGAAGTTCTTCTACATACAGCCGAAGCTATAGGGATCCGAAACTAAAACCCTAAATTATGTGTTCAGAAATAAAATACATGACTCATCTATCGCTTCCTGGGTCGGACATGACTTAATAAACGATGCCATTGATTTTCCCACATCTTGTATATGTTTGTCATGTTTCACCTCTTTTCACTTCTATTCTTCACTATCTAATTATTTACACATTTCTTATTATGTAATTTTAATGTTTTGTGATTACTATTATATGTTTGTTTATTCAAATTTGACCTACTTCCTATATTGAACTATTGTCTAGAATTTTTGTTATTTTCATCAATACTACTAGTACATCTGTCTTCTTTCTATCAGTTTGTACTGTTTACCTGTTAATTTTAGTTATCCAATCTGTTTTATTGTGATCATTGATGCATAAATTATCTTGATTGGTTGAATATTTCCATATAAAACATTCATATATATAAGAATAAAGATTGGTGACAATCTAATTGAAAACAATTTTATTCATTGATATGTGTTTTTCTAATTTTCACAATGGAAATTATTATTATTTTAAGAATATTGTATTTCATTGCATGAACAGTAAAGCTTTTTTTTCAGTTTAAGAGTAATGATTAAGATACTAAATGACCCCAAATGCCCTGATACGGCAAAAGGTGGGGAGAGTCAGCTTTCCTTCTCGAAATGTTCTTACATGGACACGTGTATACAGTCACTGACAGGGAAGTCCAATATATTGCCTTCTTGTGGCGGGAGTGTTGTTTACAAAATTAAGAGGAAGAAAAGCAAATGTCCGGTGCTTTAACCGGATTGGTTGACACGGATGGTTCACCTATGGGAGTTGAAAAACCCTGATTCCAAACCAATGGTGCACATGGGTTATAGGATCCTGAGAGAACAAATAGCGTATGAACCATTTATTGGTCATCGGCTATCATGAGACTGCATCTCCTTACGTTGCTCCACTGCCTTGTGGATTAGACCTTTAGGTCGAAGGCTCCGGATGTGGCCCCTTAAGAAAACCACCTGCTTCGATCTGGGCACTCGGGCAGTATCACAGCCCACACACAAATATAATGATTTGTGTTGCATATATCTGTTTGGTGCTCCTTTGTATCAATATTTATTTGTTCCAATAAATAAGTCATTAACGTAATGATTCCGACAACAGATGTTCAAAATATTAGTCACTGATCAAAAATTAGATTTACTTCAATTAGTTTAGGCAATTGAACTATGTTATATCTCTTCAGATCTTTTAAAAATATTATTAAATCATTCGCCAAGCTTTCAAAGACATTTTTTAAACTTACTTAGAATATTGATAACAAAAGAATCTGTGATAGAAATTTCATTCTATCTAATCTCTATAAACTGGATATATCTTTATCTTAGTCCATTAAAATGTTTCTAATGAAAAGAGAAGAAATATTTTCAAACTGGAAAAAAAACTTTTGATCTATGGTAATTAATAATTGATTCATTAGTCTTTAGATTAAAAACAATAAGTTGGTTTCTTTGATTAAAATTATGAACCGATTAATGTTAGGCCACTCAAAAACCCCTATACTGGTAATTAACATGTGCTCACTAGTGACTAGCTTCGTGAGGGAATTCTTGGAGTTCTAGTAAGAGGTCGTGACCAGTGGAGCTAATCCGTGTCGGGTAGAAACAGGTATCTACCTCAGTACAGTAGATGGTCGCGTAATTTCGTGGATTGGTTGATGTTAGACACTAACACAATTGGATGCAGGCTGGCTCAATGGTCCAGCTGGTTAATTGTTCGCGCGCAAGACTGAAGGCCCTGAGTTTGAATCATGCGAGCGGGATCGTGGATGCGCACTGCTGAGGAGTCCCACAATAGGACGAAATGGTCGTCCAGTGCTTTCAGGTTTTCAACAGTGGTCTGACTTCAGTCGGTTCATGATCTCAATCAAAACTTAATAATCTCCGCAACCCCTATACTGGTAATAAGTTGATTAGTAAATTAAAATAACGTTACATTTTATTCCGATATGTCTATCATTAGTTACTTATAACCTGTAATAATTTAAAATTAAAATAAAGATTGAACATTAAAGTACTCGGATAGATGAAGTAGGTTCGAAGTTAATATGTATAAGTATCAGTATGATTTAACAAGAATCTAAGTAATTTTCCTACATTATTTTCCTTTGATAAGTTTAATTAGAGTAAGAATATCAAGATTTGTAAAATAAAATGAATTCATCATATGGTTTCATGAAATCTTATTAATTGGTTGTAAACAGCCTGAAGTAATATTCTCAGTAAAGATCTGATGGAATTTAGTTAATGAAGTAATGATAGATGTTCATAACAATAATGATAATAATGATAAGACATAAAAGTATAGTGAAGTTTGATGTATACTAAAGAAGAAAATCACTAGTTATGCAACATAAAGGTGAGGTTATGGTTACTAGTAGTTACAGTGACGGATTACATAAATAATTAATATTTGGCTTATTTTAGTTCAAATGATGTTAGACGGTTTAAAGTAAGTGATAACAAACCATATATAACATAGATTTCATACTAGCTGGCATTTGTCAGCAAGGTATACTCAGAGTTGTTAGAGAACTGATGCTCTATGTGGGATTTTAGTCCGTATATTCAACTTGATACTCTGAGACGCTACCGTAATGCTAATTGAGTCACTCTAATTCTTTATCTACTTCAAATTTTTATAGATCATGATAATAAGTGTAGGTATTAACATCGAACCAAGCTAATTGATAACTATTGATGTCTACATATTATGGAATGTAAATAGACGATGAGAAAAAACATGACAAAGTGAAATAAACCGTTATATTTTTCTACTGATCGAGCCATTGATATTTCCCTTTTCAGGTTAGTAGCATAAAAATCTGCTTATTAAACGAATGTGCAATTTAAAAATCCCGGAGAAATAAACATAAACAAAACCGAATTATTTAGAATGTTTGGTATTTGGGTAACCGTGGAATTCAAGACACACATTTCACCATATTTGGGGCTTGGCAGAGTGTACCAACACACCAGCATTTATGTTCGTAAACCCTAGCTACAAGTGGATTTTCCATGGAAACTTTATAAAAACAGTAAAGTGAATGCAAACACACATACCTATTGGATCGATCCATACACCAAATGTTCCAATATCACAATATTTTATATCAGTTATTTTAAATAGTGGATTGCAATTGGAGATCACATCTTCCCAAATATTACACACTGAAAATTGTGTCTGAAACGATTCTAGCGGTCGAAAACAAATTTCACTTAGTTGATTTGCAAAATCTAAATCGTTGCCCAAAACATCAACTGAAAAGTTAAAAATAAAAAATGAATCCGATTGTACAGTTATAAATCTTAGTAAAAAATGCTACATATATGAAGTAAATAGCCGTTAATAGTTACCAGCATGTTTATGCAGTTACGGCTTTTAAAGTGATGCATTTAACAGAGAGTTAAATTTAAAGATTAAGCACAAAAGATTGCCAATGAACATATAATATAGAAAAATTTCAAGTTTGAAAGTCAAGTATTCTATCTTTAGAGGGGCCATCGGTAAGTACCTCTGTGAAGAATTATTCTACGACGAAGTAGCCATCTCTTTTCCTTTTGTCCTGAATCGTCTCCAGCCGAAGCGAATCTAGAGTATAAACAAGCCAGAAATTAAATAGCTCGTACAGACTTGACATTCTAAAGATAAACTGTGAGTTCAGGAGTCAGACAAGAAAATAAGAATCTAATATCAAATGATGTCTACCATTAAAGGCTTTTATGTAAAAGTATACAGGGTAAGAATTGGTATAAACTGCACAAAACTAGCGAATTACCACTTTCTTCGTGAATAGCTGAATTAAATGTAAATGATAATTATTCTGCTACTGCACTTTGGTTTGTTTTATAGCATAATCCAAAGAATTTTGCCGTTTAGCTACTTCAGTGATCACTAAAATGAGGACAGGTCAATATTTCAAAAGCTATCATTGAAAATTTATTGATGCGTAGCATCTGTTTTGTATGCGTGCTCATCATTAATTATAATGTATACACGAAAAAGAATGCTTTCTCATTTCATAACCTTCACATAAATGCAACAAAAAGAGAGCCACGCTCTTACCTAAAAGATCAGCGAGATTTTCTCTGGAAGATAGTTGAATTGTAATTGTTTTACCGGAACTACCAGAAAAACGATTATTTTCTTCGCCAAACACAGAATCATTGAATCCAGGAAACTGAAAGTTTTAAAATTAATGTTTTGATAGTACTTGAAAGTTCTATCAAAATTTTTGGGTAAGGTCAATATATAATGTTACAACGTCCAATAAACATAAAAATTGTGTAATATAACTAAACTTTGCTTATGTAGATAAAAGAAAGATGAGCAACAAAATGTTTCAGTTTTAGTTAATACAGGAGCACTAGTATCACGGTCAAAGAACTCGGCGTTAAATAATCAAGCTAAAGGTTTGAATCATGCTCCATTAAATTTAGTTCAGAAAGTCATGTAGCACTGAAGTGACCATATTTTATACTTCCATTAATATTCAACTTGGCTAATGAATAATATCTGTTGTTTTATATGGTTTAGTTATATGTGCTTGCGTGCTTAGACTGTTCCTTGAACATACAAATTCTAATTAGCCCTTTGTTACATCTGAACTTCATTTTGAATTAACTACGGCCACCAATATCCAACTTTTCCCGACTTTGTTTCCTATCATTGCTCATGAGTACTGATCAAACTTTAGTTCGCCTAGATTTTCGGCTTTATTTTACAGAGTATTTAAAGTTTGGCAGGATGAGTTTAGGAGCAATTATCGAATTAACAGGTGCCACCAAAATCCATTGGTATTACTTAGTCTTTTGGTTTAAGTCATAGGGGAATATCATCACTGTTTTTACAATTTCTCAAACATTATGTGAAGCTGAAATAGATTTGACATCACCTTCATGATTGGCGAAGCGCTTCTGTAGTTTCTCCTGTGATATACTCTTGGCGTTTCCTCTACCGAGCTGAAGCATAGGTAAGACGTGAAAAGATAAATATGAGAACCGTAATAAAATATATGTTTACACTGATTACGTCACCAAGTAAGCAATGCCACATTATTGTGCAATGGGTTAACTATGAAGTTTGTCACGAAAGGGAATAGATTCCCCAAAAGTGAAAGCATAAGTAACTCAGACATTATATAGTCGACACATAGTCGAATCAAACTGGTTTAGACAGATTTAATCATGAAATAAGGGAAGTTTGATCATAGTAGTAACAAAGTAACAGTCATAAAGTAACTACTTAAGTTTTTAGGATAATAGCTAGATATCGGATAACTAGAAACAAAACTGAACGCCGATTACATTGTGAGTAATGATGAATGCATTTATTTTACAATAATTGCTTTATTCAACCTGAAGAAAATAGTTTAATGCCAAATATATAAAAAGAATAATGGGTGCTCGTCCTGTCTACAAAAACTCAGCTGTGCAAAAACTATTTCGGGCGTATGCACTTTTAGGCGATCACAGCAAGTGATGTTAAAGGAGAGTGTTCAAAGTTTACAAAAACTATTATTTAAGTGCGATATTTTTACCAACTGATGATTCTTTTGTACTTGGTTGCGTGGTTATTACGAATCATAAAAATAATACAATAATTTGTGTTCATCTGGTTCTACTTGCCTTAAATTGCATTATTTCTGGAATTTTTAGTTAGCACATAATTTCAAAGGCTTCTTATTATTAAAATAAATTCACATTATTCTTATAGGATAAACCATCCCTTTATATCTTTGAATAGTTAATTAATTTTGGGATCTCTAGCTCAAAAAAGGCTGTCCGAACATTAACAAAATGTAGATTTATCTAAACTGCTTGATCTTTAGTTTGAAAACGTATTAAGGGGGAACAAAACCAAATACAGTGTTGTTAGTGAGCATAACTTACAAGTAAATTTAGGTCGTACTTTACAACTTCTTGAATTAATACATCGGCCAAAGTTTTGACATCTACGCTGAATCTTAAATTAGCCTCAGTTGAGTCTTTCACTTGAACAAGTGTTTGAAAGATACCAGTTTGTCTTTTAATTGTACGAGCTATTACAGCAGCTTTTTCGCTGCATAGAATTAAACTTTTTAACAACTGGACACACAATGGATCAGTTTTATTCATTTAGTATATAACTCTGCTTAGCATTCCAGATAGATAACAACAGTAGATGGATATTAGCGAAGAATGTTTATGACAGAAAGCCTTCAGTTCTTAAAATTTGTTTTGCTGGTATATAAGCCGTATCACAGCTCAGATCTAAAATTGAAACGTAAAATTCATTCATATTAGTCGGATAATGAATTGGTTAACAAAATAAAAGTAGAAACTCACTCTTTCCGTTTACACTAACCATATACCAGCTATCTACAAAACGTGTTTACTGAGCATACAAATCTAATTAACAGCGATTAAAAGTTTTTTCAAAACTCAATGACTTCCAAGCCGAGTAGATATTTAACAATTTATTCTGAAATCGATAAGTTTAATGAAAACTGGCTAAAACATGTAATAATTAACTAAAATAATTACAGAATTGTACTGTGCACCATTACGGTACTTGTACATGCGAAAAACCACGGAATCTGTGCTGTCTTTAGAAAAACTCCAACGGAATTAGTAATGCTTTCCACTTCATCATATGGATACATATATATCATCTGGATATTTATAAAATACTGAATACAGCAGATTATTACATCGGCGTTGGTCTAGCTCAAACAAAATAAAGCTATTTTTATAATCTGTTAGAGAAACCATTACTTAAAATTTGTATGATACACAAGTATCATACAAATTTAGATGGTATTGGTCATCAGATCCAACAGTAAATAGTTGCTTTTGCTAGTGAAATATATTAATTTTAACTGTTTTGTTTTTTAGCAACGAGCATATTAGCCTTGGGAAATATCTCACCGATGTGATAATTGTTTTTGGTATAAAAATAATGTCATCCACGTGTATTTCATATTCTAAAGCATATAATAGTTTGTCAATAAAAAAGGATAAGACTACATTCACAAAGATAAGTGATTCATATCAAACAATAACGATTTTCAGTGGTTATTCTGACTCAGAGTTACACAGCTTACAATATCATGATGATACACGAGTTTAGGCAGAAAATGTGAAAAAGCCGCTTAAAAAGTTAATGTTTGTTATATTCATTGACTTGATTTAACAGTTCAGATTGATAATATCTTAATGCTTATTACATAAACAGTTTTTTTATAAAGTTGATTGCACAGATTGTTGTCAGGATGCGAAATGGTTGATAGCTACTTTTGGTTTTTAACAATGCCTACAAAGGAAAAGTAACCTGGACTTCTAAAATCACCAGATTCAAATGGTTCAAACGGTTGTGGACGGAATAGAAGAAGCTTTCGCTTAACAGTCTTCCGTGTCTAGTATCAGGGGATCACCAATACCTCCAGGCAAGAACCTAGGCATGTTAACGATAAAAGAGAAAAAAATTGGTAAATCATAGTAAGATACTATCCTTAGTCCTTAAGAATAGATCAAGTCGCCTCTTAAAGGACTCCTGAGGAGTTGCTTGAACTAGCTCAGCTGACAGTGAATTCCAGCATTTGATAACTCTTAAGGAGTAGAAGTTGTGCCTGCAGTCCGTTCTACTATGTTGTATCTCCAGTTTCTGGGTGTTACCCCCCAGGTTAGTATTGGGACTAAACTTAAGTAGGTGTTTAAGAGGATGTCCAGAAGTGTTAAGGATACTGTAAACCATTAGAAGGTGACCTCTAAGACGCCTATACTCTAATGGGTAAAGGTCAAGTGATTGGAGGCGCTCATCGTAAGGTTTAAATTTGAGTATCCGAACTGATTTCTTGGCTCGCCGTTAGATACGCTCCAGAGTGTCCTTATCCTTTCAGAGTGTAGGAGGGAATACTATGTTTCCTTACTCTAAATGTGGACGAATGAAACTATTGAAGATTATGTGGAAAGTTCTCCCGTCAAACTGACCAGAAGTGCGCTTCAATGTTACCAGTGCAAGGTTTGCTCGAAAGGCACTTCTGTCACAGTTGGCGTAAGACTTTAAATCGTAGGGCGCCAGAATTCCTAAATCTTTTTCGACTAGGGATACTACTAGAGAGGAGTTTCCTAAGTTGTAACTGTAATCTGCGACGTGTCGCAGATGGACTACTTTACACTTTGAAGTGTTAAAGGTGAGTCCGTTATCGTCTGCCCAACTTTGAAGTCGAGTCAGATCCTCCCGAAGTGCCTGTATATCCTCTTGGTTGCGTATCTCTCTCCAAAGTTTCACGTCATCGGCAAAGAGCAAAATGTCTGACGTTACCTGTTGAGGAAGATCATTTATATAAATCCAGAAGAGAAGAGGTCCTAGTACTGAGCCCTGGGGAATCCCACTAGGACATTCCATAGCCTGTGATAAATTGAAGTTTACCCTGACCTTAAAATGTCGATTTGTCAGATATGAACTGAGCCAACCAATTAAAGGTGGTTTGATGCCCAATTGTTTGAGCTTGTTAATAAGACATACGTGGTTAACCCTATCAAAAGCTTTAGAGAAATCAAGGTAAATGATATCCACCATCCCCTTGCGATCAACGATGCTTGTCCATCTGTCCACCGCAGTCAGCAAGTTCGTCATACAGGAGTAACCCTTCCTGAAACCATCCTGTTGGGGTGAGAAGAAATTTAAGAACAGCAGATAGTCGTGTATACCATCGTATACCAGGGACTCCATGATCTTTGAAGGTATAGAGAGAGGAGCCACCGGTCGGTAACTTGAAGCTTCGCTGCGTCGATCTCCTTTGAAGATTGGTGTGATATGAGCCAGCTTCCAATTATCCGGTAGTTTGCCTCGACTTAGCGAGTGTGAGAACATCACGCTAAGCGGTGTTGCCACGATTGAAGCTGCTTCCCTCAATATAGCAGAGTGGACCATATCTGGACCAGGAGAAGTGTCTGTCCTTAGGTGTTGTAGTTTACGGAACACCAAGTCAGCGCTCAGTTTCACTACGGAAAGTCCTGTGCAGTTGCAGATAGGGCCGTCATCAGTATAGTTGATGTGGAATGGTTGAAATGTCCGGGAGTATTGTTCAGCCAGGAGGTTAGCGGCGTCACCATCATTATCGGTCGGGCCGTTAGGACCTAGCAGTTGAGAAACTCCAGTTTTGGCTTGACGAAGAGAGGCTGCGTAACGGAATAAGCTTTTCGAATTGGAAATAAATTTATCCATAAGCTTTAACTGGTACTGAAGCATGTTTTCTCTTATAGCCTTCGTACATATGTTCCTTATATGTTTGTACTGCCTGTACTCGCCGTTGTTGTCGGTTCGTTTGTATTCTACCCAACAGTACCTTTTACGGCTTAGCAAGTAAGTAAGTAAACGAAGGGTGCGGTTTTTGATGATTGTAGGTTGCATGTGGCTTTTGGGGAGCGTTTGAGGGACTGACTGCTTTGTAGCGCATAAGAGCGTGTGCAACAGGAAGTTCCAGTGAGCATCCACATCAAGTTGAGGGTCAACGTCCCAATCCACCTGTTGTAGATAGTCCTGTAGAACTCACGGATTCAACCATTTGAAATTACGGCTCAGTTTTGTTGACGAAACTGAAGGCTATAACGGCGTGATCACTTTTCCCCAGGGGAGCCGGAAATGAGAGGTTGTCGACTAGAAATTCTTCATTTGTAAAACCACAGTCTAAGCGCGACGGTGTCTGACTGTTCCTCCAACGAGTAGCCAACTTCACATTTTCGTGTAGTCTCAAATCATCAATGAGGTTGAAGAACCAAGCTTCGATTGAATTTTCACCTCCAGTATACGTATGTTCCGCGAAGTTGTCTCTAGGGCGATTGAAGTCCCCTAGAATCAGGATATGAGTGAAGCCGAGACGCGTAGAGCGGGATAGTCGTTCCAGCATGCGACTGCCATACTCGATGTTGGCAGTGGGCTTCCTATATATGACTCCAACCAGGCACCTCGAAGTAGTGGACAATCTCATAGAGCACCATGTAGATTCCTCAAGATTGTCAAACTCATGGTTGTGTACTTGGTGTACCTCCAAGCCAGATCGTATGTATAGGGCTACTCCACCCCCAATTCCTGTTTTTCTGTCATTGCGAAACAGAGACATACTAGGTATTGCTAGCTCCTGGTTCGAATACTGAGGAGACATCCAAGTTTCAGATATTCCTATCAGATGAACCTTATTAGCGTTGCTAAGTTCACTTAGTTCATGCATTTTATTTGGTAGACTCGCGGCGTTCATGTATAAGCAGTTAATGCTTTCAATTTGAAACGCGTGAGCTTCTTCCTGTTTGTCTGTGACAGCCTTACGAAACCGCATTTTTGAACGCCTGAACTAGCTACATAATATGCTGTCTGTGTATTTGTGAGCATCGATTCTCGGGATATTTCTAACGGGTTTAATAAAACCAATCTGTGTTTGCCACAAGTATTCGGAGTATGACAAAGCTTTTATACGTAACACTATTATAACAGAAATATACCAACCAAATGAATACAGAAGTCAGAAGTGAGGTTTTTCTCTGTGAACAATTCGTGCTGCAGTGCATTCAACGTCAGCTTCCGTTGCACTGCGAAAACCGAGTGACTTTAGTTGACAAGCGTCATTCAACTTTTAATTGTTAGAGTATGAGAGTGAAGCTACCAGCTTTAGGTGACATCGTTCAGCCGACTCATTAGCTTGTGAGTGGCAGGCGGTCGTTCGGAATCGTGTGATCCGCAATAGTTTAATAAGACAATGGAATATTCCAGGTTTGAACTTGAATCCACTGTCTATGGTAATGGTCGAAGGGCGATCACTCATTATTCGACGAAGGCACTGGCTACAGTTTCAGCGGTAATGTCTTTGGTGGATACTAATTTTAGCTATCGTGTGAAATGATCCACACACCTTAAGAGATAAGAGTATTCGTTTGGGTCTGGTAATAGTCCTACCAAATCAACGTGAACATGGTCGTAACAAGCATCAGGAGTTGCGATGCACTCAAGGGAAGATTATTGTGCCTAGTCACCCAAAATTTTTCGCAACCTACACAGGAGGATGCCCACTCCCTCTGGTGTTCATTCATACCAGTTCAGAAATTTCGTTCTGCTATGAGCTTAATGGTCGCTTGGACGCATAGATGCAAAATTCAGCGCAATATATTGAGGACATTACGTCGATAATGTTTCGACACGGTTGGACGATCACTACTTGTAGATTTGTCTTGTAGTATAGTTTTCTGATGTCATATCGTTTGATTGATTCGTAGTTTCAGAGTTGTCAAAAACAACTCTTGCTGAAGATTAGTGTACTACTTATCTGAGTTATACCACAAAATGTAGTCTAGTTGCCGAAACTCTCAACAGGGTATACTTGTCTGGAAACGGGCTCAGAGGGTGGTAAGAGGTGTTGTCGGTAAACAGAGAAAATTCTCAGCCTTCCATAGAGTGTTGATTGTGTTTTAAAGTACAATACATGGCTAGGAGTTCCCTGCAGAAAGTTAAACACATCGATTCAGTGTCTTGCAGACATCTTGACGAGAATATCGGAAGTTAGCAGGCAATGTTAATATATTGTTATAGGAATCCTCCGATCATCGAGTCATACGTGTCTACTGCGACACTAATGTGTGCATTGATTTCTCGGTGTGCTAGCATGATTGATTTTGAGATAACACTCCTAAATGTGGAGAATGCCTTTTTGGCGTTTTCGTTCGAAATCATGATTTTCAGAGTTCTTTGAAATTGGTCTGTTAAGGGTCGCATAAGTAATGAACAGTCGACGTAATCTCATCATGCCGTTAGTTTTGAGTGATTTAAAATGCCTTGCATTTTGCCTTTCAGAAAGCAGTTACTTTAAGCTACGACCATGAGTCCTAGAAAGTTCAAAAAGTCAGTTTCAATATAAATTTTGTGAATGCTTACAGTAATGACGTGTTTTATCGGCCGTTCAAAAGTTGGAGATGAGATTCTCTGTCCAAACTTGCTATCAAGCAGTCATCTATATAGGCGTGTACGAAGTTGAGACCTCTAAAGACGTCACAGAAGCAAACACAATAGAAGCGATTGATACTACGTAACACGCGTGCGAGATCTTATAGCTTTATTTAAAATTCATACCGCCAG